CTTTCATCAGTGGACAATGGTGTTTTTTTTGTCGGATTTTAACTGTTATCTGCGTGCGACCACTTGACTGTTATTTATTTTATTGAATATTTAAACAAAATACAATCATGATGTGTGAGCATATCATTACAGTAATATGCATTCTACAAAGATACCTGAAAAATCCACCTTATTATTATTACACACAGATATTTTGGGGTTTTCTCCTTTTTGTTAAATCACCAATTCCCTACCAGATAGGAATCTACTATAAACAATAGTTTCACAATTATTCACAATGCAATTCAATTTTTCCATACAATCAAGTGAGTATCGACGTACATCCACAGTTATTTTTTTACGTAATATATAAATAAAGTAATATTATACGAGTATATAATTATACTCTWTAGTGTGTTTATTATAATATTTTTGTTTTGCAATGTGTGTAAGCGTTTTTAAGCAGAATTATAGATTAGGTAATGTGTTTTCTCTATTTTTTTTTATGATCTTTGATTTGTGATTTAATTCTGGAAATAATATTGAAAAAACTGAAACTGTGTACGTGCGTAACACGATTGTTTAACTATAAATAATGAATAAGAAAACAAATGTTATGCGATCCATATATCTATAAAATTAAATATTAAAATTAAAATTAAAATGCAATGAAGTTTTAGAAATTAAGGCTCCCAAGGATTAAGTAGTATCAATAAAGCGCTATTAAGTGAAGAGGGCTAGGTACTCAACGACACTTAAATTTAATGTTAAAGGTCTTTATCAACTTTTCTTTATAGAAACAATCGTTAACAATACTGACATAATTTATTTTTAGAAGAGTTTAAATGTAAACCGTAATTAATAATTAATTTTAAGTTTAACAAAACAAACATAAATTTCATTTCATCCATGTATAATATTGTTTATCTGAATTTGTTTTAGAGTATATATTWTATAAAAATTAAACATTTTTAAACTGATATTACAAATTGAATACAAAATGGTTTTATTATCGCACGTTGTTTTTAAATATAAATTCACACTCTCATAAATCCATGCTCTAGATACATAACATAAATGATAATATTATTATTTCACCATTTCACCGGTTAGGAATAGTTAAAATTGCAAACAGATTAAAGGTCATCTACTATTATTCCGTCATGTTTTGACGGTTTCATCGTCAGATAAAGTTTAACAATAATAATAATATACAGCCATTTAGAACGTAATACCTATATTACATCGATTGTAATTTGTCTTTCGTACTTGTTCGTTTGCAGGCAACATTAACGGGATGAACGTGCTGAGTCTCGCGTTCCAAGCACCACAAATACCGGGTATATCTGCACCGTCTTTTTTGCCGTACAATTCACCCCCGAGACACTCACAGGGTTAGTATATCCGACGACGGAATCACATYCCGGCGTTGCGTATTCGCGCGTGTCTTGATTATTTTTAGCAATTATATTTTRTGATATTTTCTTTTTGTTCTCAGGATCGCAAGACACATTTCCCAGTGGCGTACTTAACGGCCGTGGTGGAGTTGTGGCCCCAGCACCACTCCAACCCAGGGCAGCAACGATCGAATCCGTATTCCTTCCGTTACAGGTGAGACTCGTTGTTATATTGTGGAAAACCATTGGTTTCATCCCTCCACCCGTTGCACGAATGCACAACAGTTTTCAATCGGTTCGATCAATATAATATGAACGAAAAATAATATTGCAACTATTATAATTAAACATGTGGTATTTTATTTCCAATATATAATTAATTATATTGACTTGTTATTCGGTTATGTAATAGGGACAATACTGTAATTAATTCACTTTTTTATAAACAATAGTGGAGTGAAAGAATTCATCAAATTAAAAAAAAATATATAAAAACGAGAAMAATGTAATTTTCTGTTGAAAAAGGATTTTTTTTATGTTKAAAAATGTTGAAACGTTAAAAATAAATCTATTTCGATTGAAATACTCCAATAGTTCCTATAATCAGGTATATGATCTAATTAACGTTTCAGGCCAATATTTTATTAGGTACCTATATATTAATAAACGATCATGTTGGTATTTATATTATTTCTGGCCGTTCCCAAATACAATAGCAGTACGAACTATTGCATAAATAATGTATCATTATGTATTGTTCGATTCATCTATACACTATCAACACGTAATC